GCTGGGGAGCGCTTCTGTTTACAGAAGTGATATGATGCTAAGGAGCTTGACAGGACATAAATGCTAGATGTGGTGAAACAGCAAGTCATGAGATAGCGAGGAGTGGTGGGAGACGGGGAGGCTGGAGGTAGTGAGGAGAGGTGGGGAGAGGGGGAGGCAGGAGGTAGTGAGGGGAGGTGGGGAGAGGGGGAGGCAGGAGGTAGTGAGGGGAGGTGGGGAGAGGGGGAGGCAGGAGGTTGCTGGCTAGGAGGAGACATCAGGGGGCATGAGGGGTGATCCAAGAAGGGAGAGGGTGGGAGGTGGAGGGTGGGGTTTTTAGGGAGGTGTAAGGAGGAGAGGCCAGCCTGGGGCCAGTCAGGATGGACTGCTGAGTAAGTCCGCCCACCTTGCACTGTCCAGGCTCTTCTGGTCTGACCTTAAGCCAACAGGCTTCGGTGCCACCACCAGTCACCCTGTGCCCCTTTCCCCAGGCTGAAGCTTTCCCCCAGCCCATCGTCACGGGTCACCATCTCAAGGGCCACCTCGAGCAGCGGCAGCAGTGTGTCCATGATGGGACGCTCTGGCCGCAGCAAGCGGAAGCGGCTAGAGACAGAGGAGCCACCGGGCACAGGCTCCAGTGGCATCAGCTTGGGCAGCGGCAGCAGCAGCAGCAGCAGCTTCCACCTGGCCCAGCAGGCCTCAGCCTCGGGCAGCGTTAGCATTGAGGAGATCGACCTGGAGGGCAAGTTTGTGCAGCTGAAGAACAGCTCCGACAAGGTAAGGGGCCTTGCCGCCGGGGCGGAGGGCTCCCCAGTTGGGCCTGGGCTGTGTTTCAGGCAGTTCCCCTTTGCAGGACCAGTCTCTGGGGAACTGGAGGATCAAGAGGCAGGTGCTAGAAGGGGAGGAGATTGCCTACAAGTTCACACCCAAGTATGTGCTCCGGGCTGGCCAGACTGTCACGGTAGGTGGCTTTGGAAGGGCAGGTGGGCTGAGCGGAGGGAGTTGCAGGGTTAGGGAGAGTGGCCACCAGTGGGAGGGGGATGGCAGCAGCAACCACATAGGTGACAGAATGTGTGATGGGGCTGGAGAAGCAGGACCTGGCTTGGGGGATGGAGTAGTGGTTGAGTACCCGGTTTTGAGAAAAGCTGCCACAAATCACGTGTGTGCTGGCATAGTTCCATTGGGCCCTCCCTAGAGCCCTTTGGAATGCCTAATTGTTACGCCAGGATCCCATGGTGGAGGTGGGTCAGTCCAGGCTATCTGGGCCAGTGGGAATTGGCAAGAGATATAACAGTCATGGGCATGGGCATGGGCCCTGGAGCTAACAGGCTTCAGATCCCAGCTCATCCTATTTGCCAAGATGAATGTCCTTGGCCACTATGAACTTCAGTCTCTTCTTCCATACCCTAGTGATCATTTCTGGGTAGGACCCAGAAAGGCTGGAAGGATTAAACGCCTGGTGCATCAAAAGGGGGGCTCTGGTAAGGGACTGGTTAACAGCACTGAGGGAGGCCCTCTGTGTGTCTCCAGGTGTGGGCAGCTGGTGCAGGGGTGGCCCACAGCCCCCCATCGACACTTGTGTGGAAGAGTCAGAACAGCTGGGGCACAGGCGAGAGCTTCCGGACTGTCCTGGTCAACGCCGATGGGGAGGTGGGTGCTTGGGGCTTGGATGTGGGGTTCCTCTGCCTCAGTCCTTGGGTCTCCCCTGTCCACCTCACACCACACCACCAGCCAGTGCAGGAAGGAGCCCTGGGGTGGAGCCTCGGCCAGCGGAGCCAGTGAAGGCAGCCCTGGGCCTGGTCCCCAGATGGCACTCTGCAGTGTGGTGACACCCTGAGCAAGCATGTTGACTGCCACCAACGTGGGCTGGGCCCCTGCACCTGAGGGGTTGGTGGCCATGGCTCTTGTCTTACACAGGAAGTGGCCATCAGAACGGTGAAACAGTCCTCGGTGGTGCGGGAGACCGAGAACGGGGAGGAGGGAGAAGAAGAGGGAGCCGAGTTTGGCGAGGAGGATCTTTTCCATCAGCAGGTAGGGCCCCGGGGGGCTCATTCGGGCGCATACACGCACACACGTGCACCCACAGGCCCTGCTGGCTGGTCCTTGGCACCACAAGGCTCCCTCAGCTCCTGGCTCTGCTGGGCCCTGCGGTTTGTAGCTGGAGGTGGCCATGGGGCAGCATTCCTTGCCTCTAGGTCTTGCCTGTTGTGTGGACCTCGGGGTACGAGTCCAGGGACCCTGGGAGTGGGGTGTTGACAGCGGACTGCCTCTCTAGGTGGCACCGCTGGGACTGCCCTCATGGTCTCAGAGAATGCTCTGGCACCATGATTTTGGTCGGAGAATGGTGACTTAAATAATGGCCTTTGGGGAGAAGATGGAGAACCTAGCACCACACCGAGTTAGACACAGTGTTTGAGACAAAATTGTGATGTGTTATGTAGCTTAAAACATCAGTAAGGGAGACATGGAAGGTTCTGGAACAGGGACAGTTGTGGCTGATGCCGTTAGCCTTGTCATCTTGTGGGGGGCTGGTCTTCCTGGGCTGGCCCAGCCCCTCCCGGGGGGCTTGGGGGCCACCAGCCCCACGTGACTGCTGCTGTCCTCCCTCCAGGGGGACCCGAGGACCACCTCGAGAGGCTGCCGCGTGATGTGAACGGAACACGCCTCATCACATCTTTCCCCAGAGCCACTGAAGACTATTTTTATATCATTGGCTTTCTTCAGTCCTTCACACATTTCTAGAGCATTTTTAAGCAAACTGCCAGATGTGGGGTGGGTCTCTGTTCTGTTCTGTCAGTGGGTTTCTATGGGCCCTCCCTCCAACCACTGTCCAGGTGTCTTTCGGTGCCCGTTTCCCGTGGGTTGAACTCCAGGCCTAGGAACCTACTGGCTGATGGGTTTGGTCTTGGAGTCTGGAGGGGTCCACGTACTGCCCCTCCCTCCCCAGTCTAACGGGATGGCAGAGTCAGTAGGTGTCCTTTGTGTTATTAAGCTTTTAAAAACCAAAATCAGAGTCCAGGTTCCTGCCTGGTGGGATAGGGGTGTCCCCAGTGGGTTTGGTGGCTCTGCCCACCAGAACGTGGTGTGGGAGCTCTTGGGAGTCACAGGTCTTACTGTCCGCCTGGCTTCAGGGTTGTTGCAGCTCCTGCTCTGAAGGTGTTGGGTGGCAGCAGGGTTTTCCGCCCGTGTCAATCCGGGCACGTTGGGTGGGGGCTCCTTGTTCCCATGACGGCTGCCAAACCAGACCAGTAGGACAGGAGAGGAGGAAGCCTGGGGCAGGAGCACTTCCAACCCAAGACGCAACCAGGTCCAGTGAGGGCCCAGTGTGAGCCTCGGCAGCACACGCCTCAGGTTCTAGAACCAGGTCCACGTGTAACCACTTCGTGCCTCGTCACGAAGACACTGACTTCAGGGTGAGCCCCTGGATGCCCCCCCACATACACCTCGTGCCGGGGCTGAATGCCAGCCTCCCGCCTCCTCATATATATATATAGGGTGACCCCAAAAAATGTATACACACACTTTGAATAATTATAAAGGCAGTGTTTATTAAAACACATTTCATTTTCAAAATTGAGCTATCAGCTATTACAGTGTGTACATTTTTTGTGGACGCACTGTATTCTGCACATATATCACTGTTCTTGCTTCTATCTGTAACTCTTGCGGAAATTATGTTACTCAGGCCACTGCCAGCTGACCCCTTTAGGGTGGTTCCATGTCACAGGCTAGCTTCTGGCTGCCCAGTGACCCTCTCTGCATTAGCCTACCGTTTACAGCCCCCACCTAGATACACAGAAGTTATTTTTTTAATGGATATTTATTTTTTTACATTGGTCAGTACTCAGATTGCCGATCCTGCTTCCATGGCTCAGGCCAGTCATGGGGACAGCCCCCAGGGAGCCTGTCCGTGAGCTCTGAGCCCGCAGATGGCACACTTCTTCAGAAAGGGCAGCTCAAGTCTTACTTAAACACTCGCTACAAGCCAGGGTGGCGTGCTGCCTGGGCAGCAGTCTCAGAGCACCCAGTGGCTGGCCCTGCGGGTCCCCTGGCTGGGAGAAGCACACCTGCCCATTTGCCCTGCGCACACCCCCAGGCCTGGCTTTCCTTGGGAATTGCTGACAGTGAGGAGGGGTGGAGCCCCAGTGGCTGACAACCTAAATGTGCTGTTGTGTTGAGTTCCCCCATAGCCCTCGCTTTACATCTGGGTCCTCCCCGTGGCCACCCTACGTTCCCAGGCAGAGGAGGGAAGGGTGTCACCAGGACTCACAGAAGGGTCTGGTGGGCCCCAGAGAACTTGCCCGCCTGGCAGTGCAGCACCCTGTACCCCACCCGAACCTCTCCTGGGAGTGCTTGCAGGGCTCCTGAGGCCGAAGGCTGTGTGCACCCCCCACCCCAGACAAAAGGGGCACTGACATCCAGTGACATTTTGGGGGAATCTGGGAGATCAAAACTGGGTCCTTGAATTTGGGTCTGTGGTTTGCTAACCGTCGTTCTCAGTTACAAGCTCATGGACAGAAAGGGAGAGCCCCCCCCCCAGTGCTTGGCAGAGGCCTTGGGTGGAGCTGGGAAGTGGTCCAGGCCACCAGGGGGGAGGGTCATCTGGACCCGGGGGTGACACTCACCCGTAATCAAGTGTTTGGAACCATGGAGCAGAAATCAGTGTGAAATTGCTGCCATGGCCTGGGAAACAGTGCACGTGTCCTTAAACAAGCTGAGCTTTAAGCCCCTTACAATGATGCAGAAGTGAGTCCTCCGTCTGAGCCCTTGTCATGTGACTGAACCCAGCACTGGTCCCAGAGGAAAACCAGACCGGCCCCCAGCAGCGGCGAGGGGGCGGCCTGCAGGGAGGTGTCTGCGAGGGCACCGGTCCAGAGCCAGCCTGGGCGCCCACCCAGGAGTCATCACTCAGCTAGTTTCCTAGCGGAGACTGACAGCGGCCCCTGCAGTTGTGTTCACATTAGCATACCCGCAGGGCTAACCTTCCCCAGCAGAGCTGCTCACCAGGTTTCCCATCCAACCCGACACCTCAGCACAACTAGCAGTGGAGGAGGCTTCCAGAACTGTGGGGGGTGGGGGGGGGGTCTGCACTTTCATTTCAGATGTATTGGTGGTTTTTAAGGTGCATGCCAAATGTGTGGTCTTTTTTTTTTCCCCTCCAATGCTTTGTAATATACATTTTCTGACTGGAAACGTTTTTGTACAACACTCCAATAAACATTTTGCTTTTAAGTTGTGCCTCTGAGCTTACTTTGAAGCCGGTTACCGAAGCCCAACTGCTAAAATGCCAATGGGCTTCTTCCCAGAAAGAGACTCACTAGAGGGGTCTGGGGATGGGGCAGTGCAGGGTCCCATGACCTCACCCCTCCCAGGAGCAAACTCAGATACACACACAGACAATCCTTTATCCCTGAGAGACAAATGAAGGCTGAACCAGTGGTTTCTGACAGACAAGGCAGAGCTGAGCAGAAGGCAGGCTGGGAACCCTCTGCCTCTGAACAAAGGGACGTCAGGGCCCCGGGTCTCCACCTGAGACTGACGCTTAGGTACCCGCTAGGCTCCTACCAACGGCCCCAACCACCTGACAGCCATAACCTACACAGGCCACTTTCTGTACAAGGAGAAAAGGGGGAGGCTCCATCCAGGGGTCTGTTCCAGGCTTACGTTTCATGAGCCTATTGGCCTGAACAAGGAGCAAGTGGGGTCACACCATCACCACACACCCGGCCTCCCTCCCCAGCAATCCTTAGGCACCAGCTCACCTCCTGACTGGCCAAACCCCTGGCACACGCAGCCTACAGTCTACCACATCACAACACTTTTCCTTGACTGGGAGAGAGCACTATTGTGTCTAGCTCTTTTCTTTTTCTTTCTTTTTTAATCCTCGCCAGAGGATATTTTTCCATTGATTTTTAGAGGGAAAGACAGAGAGAAATATCGATGTGAGAGAAACACATTGATTGGTTGCCTCCCGCATGCTCCCCAACCAGGGCCAAGGACAGAGTCTGCAACCAAGGCACGTGCCCTTAACTGAATTCAAATCCGGGACCCTTCAGTCTACAGGCCTACGCTCTACTCACCTAGCCAAACTGGCTAGGGCTATTTTGTCTAATTCTTAACCCTCATACACAGTTAAACAAAATGAGAAGACAAAATATCTTTCAAAGGAACGAGAAAAACATCTTAAGGAAATGGAAATAAGTAATTTGCTTGATAAAGAATTCAAAGAAACAGTCATGATGATGCTCACCAAACTGGAGAGGTATTTAGGGAGAATTTCAACAAAGAGAAAGTATAAGAAAGACCCAAGGGGGGGGGGGTGTCAATTAGGGGAAAACTTTAGACAAAAAAAAAAAAAAAAAAAGACCAAGCAAACCTGAAGAGTACAACAAATGAAATGGAAAATACAGTAGAAGGGGGAAACTTTGCACATTCAGTTGGTCCATCCATGATGGCGTTCATCTGTGAGGCTGAAGTAGGTAGAGAAAGCTGCAGGCCACTTACAAGACTTGTAATGTTCTGATACTGGCCAGAGAGAGAGGGCTATTGCAAAGGGTTTGGTTTCCTAAACTTCTAATGAGATTCACTTAGGACACACACACACACACACACACACACACACAAAGAATAACTAATCCTAAAACTTAAATGGAATCACAAAAAACCCGACTATCCAAAGAAATCGTGAGAAAGAACAAAGTGGGAGACATCACGATCCCTGATATCAAACAATAAAGCTACAATAAAACAGTATGGGACTGGCATAAAAACAGATCTATAGATCAATAGAATAGAGAGCCCAGAAATAAATCATCCCTAATACAGACAATTTCTGACAAAGGAGGCAGACTCATAGACACAGAGAACAAACAGGTTTGCCAGAAGGGAGGGGGTTGGGGAGTTGGGTGGAAAGGACATCTGAAACTAATATTGACTGTCAACTGTAATTGAAAAATAAAATTAGAGAACCGAGATGGCAGTGGAGGTAAATGCTGTTACTCGCTGTCTGGAGTTCGATTCCGGCCAAGGGCATGTACCTTGGTTGCAGGCACATCCCCAGTAGGGAGTGTGCAGGAGGCAGCTGATCGATGTTTCTCTCTCATTGATGTTTCTAACTCTCTATCCCTCTCCCTTCCACTCTGTAAAAAATCAATAAAATATATTTTTTTAAAAAAATTACAACTATCTCACTCATTCATGGATAATAGAGACCATTATAAACTTTTGAACAATAGTAGATACAGAGGCAGAGCTCCCTCACACAGATTGTCAAACTGCAGCGGGAAGGCCGGGGAGGGTTGGGGGACAGGAGGGAGGGGGTTAAGAGTTCAACTGAAGGGCTTGTATGCATGCATATGAGCATAACCAATGGTCATAAGACACTGGGGGGTAGGGGAAGCCGGGGTATTGTCAAGGATGGGGGGGAAAAAAGGACATATATGTAATACCCTTTGTAATGCTTTAAGCAATAAAAAAAAAAAAAATTACAACTAAAACACAGAACAACCATCACTCAGAACCACCTGAAATCTGCCTGAATGGAAGAAAAGTAAACAAGAAAGCACACTGAGGCTGGTAGGAGGGGCGGAGGCGATTAAAGGCTGGGCACCCACGTATGGTGTTTCTTTAATCGGGAGGGAGATCTCCAAGGCCTCCAGTGAGAAGCAGGGGGTCCCAGCCCCATACCAGACCCCAGCCCAGGGTTCCAGAGCTGGGAAGAGTAAGTCCCCGTAACTTTGGGCTGTAAAAACCAGTGGGGATTGTGGCTGATGGAATTCCAGGTGTTCCTCTTAAACGGCCCACAAACGAGCTTACGTGGTCTTTTCCTCCTAGCTCCAGCGCCGGGCTACGGCTTTGGGGAAATCCAGGGACGTACAGGGAGGAACTGGGTTGTCTGGCATTGGGGCCGGAACTCAGGGGCAGCTTTCTCCCAGACAGGGTGCCCACAGGGGTCACTGTTCCTATGCTGGGACCTCCCCCATCGGAGAGCTGACTAGCGGCCATATCTGAGTTTCCATCAGTGTGGCCCACTGTTCGCTTGGCCCTGGTGATTCCCTGAGACCCCACCCAACCCAATTTGCAGTCCCACCCAAGCTGTTTGCAGCTGCTTTTCCATATGAAAGGCCTGTCCTGGCTCAGGCTTCACGCTTTGCTCAAATCTCTTGAACAAGCAGCAGCTGGAGTCAGCATGCCCCAAACCTATCAATAAAAGGCCCAATACCCAGCACTAGCACCAGCCTGCCCTGCCTCACAGCTGGGCCTCGCCTGGGCACTTCCTAGCCCAATACAAATAGCAGGCATCTGCGGATCTCTCTGTACCTCCTGCCGGGTGGCCCCAGGCAGTGGCTAACTCTGCACCTTCCAAGAGGCCCCACAGACAGTGTACCCTGTAGACAGCTTCAGACCATACCAGATTACAACTCTACACACCCACAAGTGACACACAACACACGCAAGGGGCAGACTCAGGGAGCACCAAAGCCCCACAGAAGCAAGTCCTGCTCCACAGGGGTGTCTCCTGCATAGCAGCTCTTCCACTGTAGATGCAGCTGGTCCTCACAGCCAACTGGAATGGAGGCCAATTCCTCCCAGTGACACCAACACCAATTAACTACAACAAGACTATGCAGCCCACACAGGGGTGCACCTATAGTGACCAGCTCAGGTGACTGGGGAGGCTGAGCCACTGGGCCCTACAGGACACCTATTACACAAGGCCCACTACCAATTTCAGGAGATATAACAGCTCTACCTAATACATAGAAACAAACACAGGGAAGCAGCCAAAATGCAAAGACAAAGAAACATGTTACAAATGAAAGAAATGGAAGCAAGCAAGCAAGCTACTGGATACAGAGTTCAAAACAGTGGTTATAAGTTTACTCAAGGATCTTAATGACAACTTCAAGGGACTTAATGAGAGTTTCAAGGGACTTACTGAGACTTTCAAGGATCTTAGTGAGAATGTCAAAGATATAAAAAAAGACCAGTCGGAAATTAAGTATACACTAACTGAAATAAAGAATAGCTTACAGGGATTCAACAGTAGAGGACTCTGAGAATCAAATCAACGATTTGGTATATGAGGAAGTAAAAAACACCCAATCAGAAGAGCAAAAAGAAAAAAGAATACAAAAATATGAAGATAGTGTAAGGAGCCTCTTTCAAGCATACCAATATTTACATTATGGGGGTGCCTATCAAAAGAATAGCTTTGGAGGGGAGTAGTGGGACAATAAAACGCAATTTTCATTTGTATTGTGACATGTGAAGATAAAATTGAAATATTACTCAGCCATAAAAAGAATGAAATCTTACTATTTTCGACAACATGGATGGACCTCTAGGGCAGTGATGGCGAACCTATGACACGCGTGTCAGAGGTGACACGCGAACTCATTTTTTTTGGTTGATTTTTCTTTGTTAAATGGCATTTAAATATATAAAATAAATACCAAAAATATAAATCTTTGTTTTACTATGGTTGCAAATATCAAAAAATTCCTATATGTGACACGGCACCAGAGTTAAGTTAGGGTTTTTCAAAATGCTGACACGCCGAGCTCAAAAGGTTCGCCATCACTGCTGGGGTATTACGCTAAGTGAAAGAAGTCAGAATGACAAAGACAAATGCCGTATGACTTCACTCATATGTAGAATCTTAAAAAACAAATGCGTAACAAAACAAAACAAAACAGATTCATTAGTGCAGAGGAGGGAGGTGGGATGGGAGTAAAAAAAGAAAAATAAATGCTCTCCCCCTTTCAGTACCTCATCCTGACTTCACAGGTGAAAAGGGGAGAACTCAGTTTTCTTTTACCAAGTGAACACATGCTCATCAATCTGACATTGCTTCTCACGGGCGGTGTCTGGCTGAGCTAGATGCTCTCAGAAGGAACTAATACACTGAATTTTGTAAGGTTCCAGAATGTTGCTGCTATTGTACAATAGACCTGTTTTTCCAGGAAGTCGAGCTCTGATTGAAATATATTCGGATCAATGATTGAGAAATTAAGAACACCTGCTAATTAAGGCGGATACCCCTAATTGTCGGGGTAACGGTTTTCATCTCTTCTATGAAATTAAATTGTCTTAGCGAGCAGTAGCAGGTTTCGCCCTCCCGGTAACATCTACGCACCTGGTGAAGTAGGTGGGCCCGAGTACCACTGCTGGATGGCATCTGGGAAAGGCATTTTCCTTCTGCCTCAAAGGAAATACCAACCCATCACATAGCACACTTAACGCCAATAATGCAATTTACAGAACCATCACCTTTCAAAATCACATCAAATGTTATCCATACTAATAGATATTTAAACTGTAAAGCGTATTCTCTCTGACACCACTTAAAATGTACTTCAATTTAAAAAAAAATTTTTTTTAATCCTCACCTGAGGATATTTTTTCCTCCATTGATTTTTAGAGAGAGTGGAAGGGTGGGGGAGACAGAGAAACAATGAAGTGAGAGAGACATCAACTGGTTGCCTCCCACACGCCCCTGACCCAGGCCACGCCCTTGACCGGAATCGAACCCGCAACCCTTCAGGCCGGGACGATGCTCTAACCATTGGACAATCGGGTAGGGATCTTTTTCTTTCTTTCTTTCAAGCACTGGCATGAAGTGGAAGACACAGAACTCACGAAGAGAAGCAATCTTCAGAACACTGAGCTCTATTCGATACAGTTAGTCCGAGAGTGAAGAAAGAGAAGTTACAGCCTTCAGCTGGCAGGCTTACGCTGAAGCATTTCCCTAAAATGCAATGTGGGGGTGAGTGGTCCCTGCCAGTGGTTCTCAACCTTCCTAATGCCGCGACCCTTTAATACAGTTCCTCATGTTGTGGTGACCCCCAACCATAAAATTATTTTCGTTGCTACTTCATAACTGTAATTTTGCTACTGTTATGAATCATAATGTAAATATCTGATATGCAGGATGTATTTTCAGGGGTCGCGACCCACAGGTTGAGAACCGCTGCAAGCAATGGCAGCTAGACTCTGGTCATGCATTCAAGCCCAATTGACACAGGAGTCCTTTCTGGCAGGTACATTCTTTCTCCGGGTTAACACGTGGTTAAGACCCACACAGACTTAAAAACAAAGTACCACTGGCAGGTGCAGACAGGCTCCACTCCTAACCTTCCGCGGCAGTGCCTGCCCGTGGTTTTCTGCAGGTCTTTCTAGCGGGCTCTTCACTAGGCCAGCGTTCCCCAACTCCCGAGGCGCCGGGGGTTCTCCCGAGCTCCACTCCCGCGCGGCAGGCACCGGACACGTGCCGCCGCCACCCCCTACGCATGCGCGGTGGGATCAGCTGGGGGCTGGGATGAGCTCAGAGTGCGTCTCCCAGCGACTCCCAGCAAAGCCCGCGGCCCCGGAATCTACGCGAGACCTCAGCTCCCAACGTAACCTCGGGCTTGTGGGAGTCGTTGTCCGGCCCGTCGCCCCGCCCCCAGCACTCCCGGACTCCATTTCCCGTGGGCCCACGCGCCTCTGACTTCCGGGGCAGGTACGGGTCGGCGCACGCGGCCGCGAGCCGGTTGACTTTGCGGAGCCATGGATGGCTTCAGCTCGGACTTCGGCGGCTCCGGCGGCGGCAAGCTGGACCCCGGGCTCATCATGGAGCAGGTGAAGGTGCAGATCGCCGTGGCCAACGCGCAGGAGCTGCTGCAGGTCCGGGGCCGGGCTGGGGGCCGGGGCCGGGGGCCGCGGGGGCCGCCAGGAGGCGGGCGTAGCGGCTGAGGGTTCGCATGTCCCCACAGAGGATGACGGACAAGTGCTTCCGGAAGTGCATCGGGAAGCCGGGGGGCTCTCTGGACAATTCGGAGCAGGTGAGACCCTTGGGGCTTGGGCTCGGACTGGCGAGGGGTCTCTGCGCGTGCGCGAATTAAGGGGACGGCCTGGTGAGACCGCTGCGCGTGCGCAGTCCGCTGCCCCGGGAGAGGGCGCGGGTCAGGGGAACCCTGTGCTGATCCCTGCGCTTTCCTCGCCTGCAGAAATGCATCGCCATGTGCATGGACCGCTACATGGACGCCTGGAACACCGTATCCCGCGCCTACAACTCGCGGCTGCAGCGAGAACGAGCCAACATGTGATCGGGAAATGCGGTGCCTGGCCGAGCCAGTGGGCCGCCCCCACCCGTGTTCGGTTTCCATAAATGTGCTTTGTGAGGCAGGGGCCAGCGTGTGCGTGCTGCCTGCCCGTGGTTTATGAGGATGAGGCTGGTGCTGGGACACTTGGAATTTTGTCCCCCTCCCCCTGGCCAGGCCGACCTCCCACCTGCCAGCGAGTGTAGTTGGGGACTTCGGGACCCTGGAATTTCCCACAGTGCTGGCAGCGCTGTGGCACCTTTCCTGGTGTGCCCGGGTCACCTTTATGCCCGAGCCGTAGACTTCCTGTGGGCCTGCGGGTGGGGAGATGGTCAGACCCCACCTGAGCTGTGACCTCCTGGGGGTGGGCTGACAAATAAATGGATGAGGGAGGGGTGGAGAGAGTCCTGTGTGTCTTCCCTGGAGGAGGCCTGTGTCTGGGGTACCTGAGTCCCCTGCCCAGACTGAGCCTTAGTCTCTGCCCCACCCCCACCCCCACCCCCATTTCCCCCCTGGGCGCTTGCTACTGTTCCCTGGATGACACCAAAGGAACCCTGAAGATGAGGCTGAACCCCAGCCCCAAAGGCTGGGGTTATGGCAGCCCTCTTCCTGGGAGGTCTTGCTACCTCACCCCACCCACCTTTCATCCCAACTTTAGGCCCTGGGTCAGGGGCAGGCAAGCAGTTCTTGCTGTGATGTGCAAGTGTGTGAGCCAGTAAGTTAGGGACAAGGGGCTTTTTATTGGAACAAAAGACACAGTAAAACTGTACTCCCACTGCCCGCAGCACTCCCCGCCCACTGTCTGGACTGGACTCCCCTTCTCGGACCGGTGGCTGGTTGGTTCCTACTGCCTTGTCCTCCCAGGCCTGGACAGCCATGGGGTGGTCACTCCTGGATGTTCTGTGTGATCCAGCCTCTCACAGCAGCCACCCGGGTATAGACACCTGGGAAGTGAGGTCGCCCGCAGCCATAGCCCCAGCTGGTGACCCCAGTTAGCACCCACTGGCCAGAGGGTTCCCTGCAGGCCAGAGGTCCCCCAGCATCACCCTGAGGGGAGGAGAGAGGAAAGGCACTCAGCAGGCCAGTTTCCTCCACCTCCCATAGCAACCCTCGGGCAAGAGAGGACTGACCCGATCTGCACACCTGGGGTGGCTGGCCTCCACAGGAGTCTCCTGGGCTCCCCATGTGACCCCAAGTGAGTAGCCCTGTGAGCCTCACTTTTACTATCTGGGAAATGGGCTTAATGCCAGGACAAGCCATTCATCTGTCTGGCAGACATTTGTGAGCACCTGCCACAGGTTCCCTAGTAGAACGGCCTTACACTGCATGCAGCCTGTTCCCATTCCTCGCCTGCAGGGCGGCAGTGAGGATGTGGGGTGGGAACTGGATGCCCAATAAACAGTGGTCCATTGAAACATCTAAGGGTGAAAAGGTTCCCTGCTTGATCAGCTTAAGTTTGCACCAAAGAGTGGGTCCTGGCTGTGGGCTTTAGAGCAGCCAGAACGTGCTCTCCTGGATGGATGGGGCCCTTCCCCCGGCAGAACACCCATTTCAGTGTTAAACTGTGCTCACCGAACAGCTGTCCACGCCCACCCTGCGGGAAGCCGGCACACAGCATGCGGCTGCTGATCTGCACCGGGTAGTAGCGGCGGCAGGCCTGCTCGCTGAGGAGGCGCACAGCCGCCTTCTGCAGTTGCCGTGCCATGGAGCCTGTGGTGAGACGGGCGGTAGGCCGTGAGGCTGGAGGCCTTCCTGATGCCGCCCCCCCCCCCACCAGACCGATAACCCCCAAGGGTGCGGGGCCTGGCTCCGAGTATCGGACTCGCCTACCTCCCTCTCGCACGGAGCCCCAGCCGGTGATTACACAGCGTGCCCCATTGGGGGGCCGGGGTGCAGGCTCCGGCAGGCAGATGGGCCGAACCAGGCGGCTCCGGTGCACAGGCCCTGCCAACTCCAGCAGCGCCACGTCATAGTCGAGCGTGTAGAGGTTGTAGAAGGGGTGCTTGTAGATGCGTGCCACTCGCTCCAGCTGCCCCTCAGCGCCACTTAGGAACGGTGTGCCCAGAAAGGCCACCCACTGCTTGGGGTCCCCATAGCTGTAGGGTGCGTGGGGACAGGTGTTCTGGATCCCCGCACCCCAGTTACCCCCGCCTGTGGCCCCTCTGGACTCTGCCCTGTAGGGCTGTGGCCTTGTCCTTGCCCGTGACCCAGGGGGGTGGTCAGGGACCTTTGGCAGGGCACTCGGCCTCTGGGCCCTGGGTTGCTCATGGATATGGGGATGAGTCATCCCTCCTGGGACAGTGAGGGGGGGCCTTGCCTGAAATGCACCCACAGCGATGAGGTGACATCACATTACCCATTTCTGCCCAATATTAGGGCGCTGGTGGCCAGAGGGCCCCTGCCCCACCTGCCCATTCCCTCTGACCCCGCCCTGCAGCGTGCAGAGTGTGCCTCCAAGAACTGGCTTTCTCCAAGGAGGGCAGGGCCCCTGGCCTGTTCCACCCTGAGCAGCCTGCCCTGAAGGGGACTCCCCGGTGTGTGGCCTTTGGAGAACGGAGATGTCTGTTACCCAGAGCCCCCACGTACCACCAAGCTGGGCCCTGGACTCGAAGAGGCTGCAGCCCTGGGGTTTGGAGCGGGAGGTGTGTGGCAGGGTCTGTGTGTGGGTAGGATTGAATCCCTGCAGCCCCATGTGGTGAGTGTGCAGCAGTGGGTCCCAGTGGCGGGGGTGGGGGGCATTAAGAGCAAAAGGCGTGCGGACATGACAGTGAGTTTTGGGGCCACGGGTCATTTCCCGTGAACCACCAATGGGCTGGGGTGTTGGGGGCAGATGAGACTCACACGTCAAAGCAGTGTGCAGCAGACAGCAGCCACCTCTCCGCCACCAGCACGGCCCCGCACCGGTGCTCCCGGCGCCGCAGCCACAGGCTCACCTGCCACGGCCACTCCCCGAGGCCTGCGGCGCTGCCGCCCACAATCCTGGTCAGCGCGGCCACGGGCGCCAGGCCGCAGTCTGCAGGAGAGCGGGCAGAGGGCCTTGGGCGGATGCAGTGCCTCTCACACTGCCCCTTGGGGGACCCGCCTCGAAAAAACACACTAACACTGGACTCGGTGCTTGGCCCTACAAACACGCCTCTTCTAGGCTTCTCCCAAGTAATATTTGAAATGCATTGAAGTCTGCTTCCCACAACCTCAGCTTTGGGCCGTGCGTCCTCCCCAGATGGGGGCCAGGACAGTGTCCTCTCCCACCAGACGCCTTCCCAGGCTTCTCAGTCCCTTAGGAGCTGGGTTCTCTGCTGGCTCAGATCTTCCCACCCCTTCGCTCTGCCAGGAGGCCCCCGCTTGCCCACCAGCTCCTGTGCTAGTCTGTCTTCCCAGACACCCTTGTGCTGTGACGCCCGTCACCCCCAGCACAAGGTGCACCCTCAGAACACAGCTGTAGAAAGCACCAGGGTGGTGTCAGGAGGGTGCTGCAGGGACCCTAGCACCCGTCAGGGGCTCGCCTACCCACCTGATTCCCACAGGGCCGCTCCGAAGCCTGCCCCTTCCCAGCCACTCCCACCACCCAGCTGCCTCCGCTCCCTCCAGATTGAGGAAAGGCTCCTGCTCTGGCCTCAGCTGGAAGAAGAGATGGGGAGGCAAGAGGCCACCTGCCCCGTCCCTGCTAGCCCCACCGCTACCCTCCTGACACCATCTGGACCTTGCCCAGGGCCAAAGCTGTGCTCCCTTTCCTGGAAACGCTGCCCCCACAGTGGACGCCTGCCCGTAGCTAGGGGAAACGTGAAAACCAGGCTAAAGGCCAGAGCCAGATGAAGGTAGCTGGGGAGTGAAACTGTTTCTCCCAAGAACAGTTACAGCTGCACCGAATCACACACCCGCATTCTCTGAGTGCCCCTGCTGGAAACCCTGTGCCCCGAACCAGGCGGCAGAAAAGGCTGTGAAGGGAAGGCCCCCCTTGGGTCTGGAGGGTCTAAATCCCGATTCCCGGTCCAGGTGCAGGGCTCAGATAAGGGGGTTCCAGACTCAACGTGTCACCTCTGCCTTAACTGATTCCCAAGGAGACAGGACCCAGACCCTCCCCACCCTCCGAACCCACATCCAGGCCCTTGGCACATGGTCTGCTTTGGTCTGAGCCCATGAAAGCTCTGCTTCATCTCAAGGTCACCGACACAGCACTCGCCCCCAGAGCCTGGCTTCCTCACGACCCGACTTGCTTTGTTTGGCCACCCGTCCCGGGGGCCTCTGGTGTGCGGCTGCCTTGTGGCGGAGCCCGTGAATCTGGCTCGGTGGGTTCAGGCCTGTGTGGGGTGACAGGCTGATGGAGCCAGGCCACTGACCATGTGCAGGGAGAACAGGTAAGAACTCTCACGACATGTCATGAGGATATGATGGAGCAGTGGGATTATGGGTAGTTTTCCCCAACTGTCTCTGTCATGGGGTTAAGTTATGCACACACACCCCTGCCCATACCCATCTGAAGGACAATGGACCTACGGAGGCCCAGGGAGGGGACTGGTGATGGTGGAGGGAGGCAGAGAAACCTCCCTGGGCCAGTCTCTGCGGGGGTCACCGTGAAGGTGCCGGGGGCCTTGGACAGTGGGAAGTTCTGGGAAAGTTCGCGGTGAGGAGGAAGGTGGTGCAGCCTGCATGGACTGGCTGCCTGTGTGCTGAGCATCTGCCCCTTTGGGAGCTCACCAGAGCAGCCTGCTCCCCGCCTCCCACCTGAATGGAAGCAGCTCAGACATGGCCCCCAGAATCTGGATACGAGAGCATGGAGTTCACGTCTGCCTGGGAGTGGGCGGGCTCGCTAACATGGGTGCACCTGGCAAGTCCCACGCCACGCAGAAGTCAGCGTTTTCTCTGTGGCCCCCACACACCACAGATGGCATCTGCCGGCTTGGTCTTGGCTGGAGCTGTAGGAGATTGCCCGTACCTGATGGGGCTTTAGTTTTGACCGACAAATACAGCAGTTTTATATGCTAGTAGTTCTGGTTAATAGTTAGTAAAAGTGAACTCAGCATTTTAGACACGAATGGAACGATCTCAGGGCCACGTTCTCTCTCGGCGTCTCTGCTGGCCAGTGAGGTGCCCTCTCAGCCATAACGGGAGCTGGGAGACCAGCTGGCCCCGGCCCTGCTCGGTCCTCCTTTCACGCCTCGCTATGTACGTCTCGTGAGTTGGTTTCTCCACCTTCTGGGTCCTGCTGTACCTGAGCTTAGCAGGTCTGGCCCAGAGGGGGGCTTTATGAGCGTGGATGAGTGGACAGAGAATTCCCCTCATGGAGACCCGGGTCAGGGACTCCCCGTGTACCTCCCGAAGTTTCCTTTAAAAAATGGGAGCTGACAGGGGTTGCAGGTTAAGACATTGCCACTAGGTGGTGCCGGTCTGCCCATTCAGTGCCCGCCCATGCCCATGCCCGTGTCCCTGGCTGTCAGGGCGATGATGGGCAGACTTGTGTCCCCACAAAAGCCATAGTTAAAGCTCTGACCTCCAGGATGTGGCTGTGGGGAGACGGGGCCTGTAAAGAAGTGGTTAAGGTACAGTGAGGCCATTGGGGTGGGTCCTAATCCAGTGTGACTGGAGTCCTAAGAAGAGATGAGGACACAGACACAGAGGGACGACCTATGAGGACACGGGGAGAAGGTGGCCGTCTGCAGGCCAAGGAGAGCGGCTTCAGGAGAAACCAGCCCTGCTGACACCCGCTGGCATCCGGCCTCCAGGACGGGGAGGCGGTAAATGTGTGCTGCGCACGCCCCCAGCCTGTGGGATGCGGACAGCCGCCCTGACAGACCGACGCCGGACCCCTGCCACCGACACGCGCCACCCCATTCCTCCCAGTACCTGGTGGCTGGGCGTCCCTGGTGGTCCGAGAGGCGTTTGGAAGTGGTGTCTGCCCCCCGGCAGTGGTGCTCGCGGCACTGGCGGTGCTGTTGGCAGGTTGGCTGGCTGCCCTGCTGGTGGCCCGGAGGGTGGGTGTGCTGGCTGTGGCCCCCAGGACTGTGAGGGCAGCCACTGTCCTGGGGTCATGCGTGGTGGTGGCAGGCGTCCTTGTGGTGGAGGGGGCAGGGCTGGGCAGGGGGGAGGAGGACATGATATCCAGGATCCAGCCCTTCAGACTGGTGATGCGAGCATACACGCCGGGTTTCTTAGCCTGAGCACAGCCAATCCCCCAGCTGACGATCCCCGCCAGATAGAACACACCAGGGGTCTCCTCACAGGCCAGGGGGCCCCCAGAGTCACCCTAAAAAGAAGGAGAGAGGGCTGTGACCATTGGGCACCTCTGCAGAGGGCACTGCCAGGACCTCCCGCATCCCCACAGTGGGAGGGGCCCATCAGGGGAGCAAGAGGACAGGGCATGGGGACACGGGGACACAGGGTCTGAGACAGCCCCGCCCTCATCCCCTGCCCCAGCTCC